CGCTCCCTCCTTTGCCTCTTTCAAGGCCCGTCTCAAGCCCCTCCTCTTCGACCGCGCCTTCGGTCACCCTCCTACCCCCTACCCTCCCCGTCCTCCACCCCCTCCCGATCCCAACCCCCAGCTCGGGTCCAAACCCCTGACTGTCCAGCGCCTCGGGATGTCCTCCTGACGTGAAAGACACTATACAAATGTAATTTGTTGTTAACTTCTCCGTGGCGCTCGCCGGGCTGCACGGTGTCCGCCATCCACAAGCCCCGGCTCATCCCAAAACTCCACTGCCCTCGTCCTCACTCACACCAAACCCCACTCATCATCATCGTCATCGTCATCACCACCTCAGTCTCCCCTGGCTCCCAGCGGATCGATTTAAACACCTTCGCTCTTCAACCTCCCATCACCTCTCTGATCCTCTCCCCCCCACTCCCTTCACTCAGTTAACTATACACCACCGCGCCCCCCACCACCCTTCTCTGTGCCACCATCAGCTTCATACCCTAACCACCCACACCCCACCCCCGCCAAGAACTCACACCCCGCACCCCCAGTCTCTGACAGCTTGTACCCTCCAGCATTTAACATTTGCACTTAACACAAGCAGAACCAAATCTGCCCCCCCCCCATACACCAAAACCAGGTACAGTAACATCATCACCGCTCCCCCTTCCCACCCCACCATGATACACCAAAGACCAGGATTCCCCCCCACCCTCTCGTCCCCCCGCCTTGGCACGTCATCGGTAAAAATTTGCTATTTGTAATCACATTAAATGCATTAGAAAAAGCTGCTAATTTCATCCCTCTCCCCCTGCCTTCCTCTCTCTCCCCCTGGCACATACCCCTCTCCCTCCCTCTCGCACATACCCCCCTCTCCCCCTCTCACACACCCCTCTCTCCCCCATTCCCTTTCTCCCTCTCACACATACATAATCTATCTCCCTCCCTCTGACAGACATAATCCCTCTCTCTGTCCCTCTCACACGCACTCCCTCTCTCTCAGACACACTCCCTCTCTCCGCAGAATAAATCAATATAAAGCGTGGATTGCTCGAGGCCAATGTAAGCCAGTAACGAGAACCATCCCGAGACCTCAAAAGACCTCTGGGGGTCTGCGCGAGGAGAGCTCAGCGAATAGCTGTCTGCTTATCTCACTGACGTCTTACTGGTTAATGTCAGTGCTTCTCCCCTTCCCCCCCATTCCTCCGTGCACCGCCCATGGGGTTAATTCTTGTTGAACGAGCAGCTGCTAGCAATTATCATTTCTCACTTTTATCCAAGCAAAAAAATGTATGTATATGTATGTATAATATGGCGGAGTGGAGTCCTGTAGTGTAGTGGTTAGAGCCGATTACCAGGCAACCCCAAATGTTAAGCAAGTTTCCTCACTCCACACGCCTCTGTTTACCTAGCAGCAAGTCGGACGAGGGTTGAGAATCGTTTGGCGGATCACTTTTCTGGGGCTAATAATCCTTTCACAAAAAATAAAAATATAATGATAATTTGGTCACTCAATCCACGACTGTTTGTGGGAACGCTGCTGTGCGCGATTGGCTGCCGCCTTTCGCCCCCGAAATATACAATCAATCCACTTTCCAGTATATTCTGCGAAACACTGAGACGTGACGAAGACTGATAAGGCGTTATATCAAATGCAAGGATTATTATTATAGGCTAACATGTAGTGTATAGCAGAGCTCAGTTTAACATCACACGAATGTGAAACAATCCCCCTCAGTCCCAGTGTTATTTTACGGCAAATGCTCAATGAATAAAATAAATAGTCCTCGTATTTGATACAGCGCCTTTCACGACGTCTCGAAGCGCTTCGCAGGATTTCACTGTGAAGTGCGGTGGCTGTGCATTTTTGCAGACAGCCAATTTGCGCACAGAGATGTCCCGCAAACAGCCGTGAGGTGAATGATCAACTGTGCGTGTGGGGGATTGTTGGCCGGGGACACGGGGAGAGAGAAACTCTCTTCGCTTTTTTTGAATAGTGTCGCGGGGTCTTTAACATCCACCCAAACAGGTACAGGTGGGACCTCGGTTTAACGTCTCATCCAAAGGACAATTCAACACCCCCCAGCATTGCATTGGAGCGTCAGCTTAGACGATGTGATTCCAAAGGTCCCGATGTTGGGCTTGAACCCACAACCTTCCGACTCACTACCGACGGAGCCAGGCTGCTGACAGGCGAACCTGGGAGCGGACAGGTTGACATGCATCACTCCTCCCACGCTTCCCATTTTGCTCCGCAGAGTGCCCCAAGACGTTGTGCACGTCTTTAACCGTGTCGAACAGTGCGGGTTATCACCGGTTTTGATCACCGGAGAGATTGCTCGGAAACAATTATCCTCGCGGTGCGGTAAGTTCTACCCCGGGACGCCGAAGATTTCGGTTCGTTCTGAAATAGGTCAGCAGTTTTTTTTTTTAAAAAAACAGAAAGATGGTAAACTTTCCCCTTTTTTTTTGCATTTTAAAGAGGGGGGAATGTTTTGGGAAAGGGAGAGGGGTGGGTGGAGATTATGTTGGTGCTCCAGCTCCCCTTTGTGGACTAAAAGGGACACGGCAGCTCTCCTCTCTTGTCTCACACTGTCTCTCTCCCTCCCTTCCTACCTCCGTGTGGATAAAGGGACAACCTTATTTCAGCTTCACAGGTCTGACCACACCTGGATATGCAAAATGCCTCCCAGTTGGGCAAACATTGGGCATTTAAACGCACGCGCGCACCCTCTGCGTCTACCAGAACAGCCCCATATCCCCCTTATTACCGCTGCCACGTTTCGCCCACAAAATACGCAATCGATTCACTTCACAGTCTATTCTGTGAAACGTTCTGAGACGTCCCTCATTTGTGATGAGGCGCTATATCAAATGCAAGGATTATTATTGTTGTTATCACTACAAATCCAATTTTTTCGGGGGGGAAAAATAGCATTAACTTTTAACGGTCCCTCTTCCTCGAACCAAGAATTAAATGTCAGAACGTTTTATGGAACTTTTATCAGCTCCCCCTTCCGCGCCACACACATACACACAAAAAAAATTCAGTTATTGTTAAAGTTAACTGTCATCGTGGTGATCCTTGCATTTGATGCAACGCCTTAAGTTTTAAATTCAGGTTCACTTTTAAAACTTTTTGGGGGAGAAAACATAGATAACACACCGTATTCATTGTAAAAGTAAGAGGTTCTTTCTCGTCAATGCAGTTTAACTTTTATATTGCAGTAAAACAAAGTTGTAAAAAGTTATAATCGTTTCAAGTCGATTCTCTCTCTGTACAGTATTTCTCCCTCTCCTCTTTCTCTGCACATTCTCTCGCTCTCCACACACTCTCTTTCTCTCTCTGCACACTATCTCTATCCTTTTTTTTCTCTGTGCATACTGTATTTCTCCCTCTCTCTCTCTCGCTCTCTGCACACTATATCTCTCCTGCTCTCTGTCCAGTAAAAGACAAAAATCACTGCAGTAAGTTTGAAACTTTTTTTTTCCCCCCAACACACACTCACATCTCAGTCAATCTTCCTCAATCCTTCCCCATCGCTTCACCCCCTCCTGTCTCTGATAATCTCTCTCAGAGAGAGAACTCTGTTCCTCCACCAGTCACAAAGCCCTTTAAACCTCTGACTACAGAGAGAGTGACAGAGATGAACACACAAACAGCCACAGACACAGAGAGACACACACCGACACAGAGAGACACACACAGACACAGAGAGACACACACAGACACAGAGAGAGAGAGACACAGACACAGAGAGAGACAGACAGACAGACACAGAGAGAGACAGACAGACACAGAGAGACAGAGAGAGACAGACAGACACAGAGAGACAGAGAGAGACACACACAGACACAGAGAGAGATGCACACAGACACACACACACACACACACACACAGAGACCTGCACAAACACAGAGAGAGACACACACAGACACAGAGAGAGACACACACAGACACAGAGAGACACAGAGACACAGACACAGAGAGACACAGAGACACAGACACAGAGAGACACAGAGACACAGAGAGAGACACAGAGAGACACAGAGAGACACACACACAGACACAGAGACACATACACACAGACAGAGACACACACAGACACAGAGAGAGACACACACACACACAGACAGACAGACAGACAGACAGACAGACAGACAGACAGACAGACAGACAGACACAGGGACAGAGAGAGACACACAGAGACACAGAGAGAGACACACACAGACACACACACAGAGACACACACACACAGAGACAGACAGACACACACACACAGAGACACACACACACACACACACAGAGACACACACACACACACAGACACACACACACACAGAGAGACACACACACACACACACACAGACAGAGACACTCTCACACACACATACGATGGACAGAGAGAGGTTGATCCCAGGATCACTGAGACCTGGAGCAATCCTGAGCAATGCCCATGTCATCAGACACACACACATCACATATCTGGAAAGTTTTGCTCTAAGGACTGAACAACCAGAAAGGTTTTGACTAACTTTCTTTCAAACACAAGAGATGTGCAGGAGGAGGAGGGAAGCCTTTGACATTATATAACTGGGTTCCTTCCAGTATTCAAACCCCATAAAAACTTCCTTAAAAGCAACTTGTTAGCTGATAAACCTTAACATGTGCAACAGAATTTTCTTTTAACAACCTGTGCCTTTTGCATACACCGCATATATATATATATATATTTAACATTGAAAAAATATATATTAATGTCCTTAAAACTTGAACAATATCTGCACAGTCCTAAAAAAACTGAGCTGTTACTACAATCCGAGACTAAATAGATGATAATCGACATTAGTAGATGATAAAATAATGAGTCTAAGCAGAACAGACACACACACATAGATATATATATTTACATATCATCTAAAATGTTTCTTACAAGTTTTTTTTCTATTCTATATATAAAGAAAAAAAACACACAAAGTAAAAGTTTTGCAGAAGTAAGGCAAACCTGTGAGATGGTTGGGCTATGGTTTTCCTCTCTTTCTTTTTCTCTCTCTCTTTCTCTCTCTCTTCTTTCTTTCTCTCTCTCTCTCTGTGTGTGTGTGTGTGTTGGTCTTGTTGAGAGGTTCCCACGGTGGACAAGAGAAGGAGAGAGAAGTTGTAGATGTTTGGGATCAGATGAAATAAGAGCAAAGGGGGAAGTGCCTCACTTCTCTACAGCTGAGAGGGACAGAGTGGGACTGAGCACTGTGCTGTGCTCTGCTTAACACTTGGGTTATCCTGCCCTCTGCGCAAAATCCCCCTTCTTTTCGTAAGCTCTTACGAAACGTGGAAAAGTGTCACAGTGGGTGATATATGTAAGATCTTCAGTGAGTGAGTAAAGCATTCCTAAGCACCAGCTCAAAGGTTACAGTCTTATAACGTAATCACATTCTTTCTCTCCTAATAGTTATTCCCTGGACCACATTGAGCCAATCTGGCAATCATTCTCTCTCCCCCCCCCACCCCCCCCCCCCCCCCCCCCCCCATCCCACTGCTCAATTGAACTCAATCCATCAGGGAGCAATGGTTTAAAAAAAAATGTCCCTTTTATGTTTATTAAAACCAAGACATCCAGTCTCTCCTTCCCTCCCTCTCTCGCCGCCGAGTTCTTCTGTAGCGTTTCTTTTTTTTTTGAATCCCAAGTTTAAAGGGAATCTTTGTCTGTGGTTCGAGTCGTTTGTAATCTGCCCCCCCCACCCACCCACCTCCCCACCGCCTTCAAAAGCTTTTGTGCTGCGTAATTAATCGATCGGTTTGTGGAAATAATCGAACCGTTGCGCAACTAATCGGTCGGTTCGCGCCAATAATCGATTATCTCGTGCAAACGATCGATTATTTAATGGAAATAATCGATTGGTTAATGGGAATAATCGATTGGTCAATGAAATAATTGATTAGTTTATGTAAATGATTGATTATTCTGTGTAAATAGTCTATTGGTTTCAGTAGATTATCGATAGCTGTCCGGTTTAACCAGTGATTGAGATGCGTGTGGATCTAAAGAACAAACAAGGACGCGATGGTGAATAATTTGAGATACACTTCGATGAGTACAGGACAATCATCGCGTCCTATTCCAGGAGAGATCAGCCGGGTGTCTGAGAATTCCTCGCATCCCACCTACACATGGAAATCCCAGAGAGAGACAGTTGGACACATCCCGCTCACCTAATTCCAGAGGGTATTAGGCTAAAACCATGGTTATAAGGACACCTTTTGCACAGGATAGCGTCTCCGAGCGCTGCACAATGGCGGGGTCAAACACCAAGCAAGGAAGTAGGGAGGGGTGACATGAAAGGCGTTGGATCTAATGTCAGGGTTGTTATTATTATTACCTCCATCGCTTCGCACAGTGAGTTACTTGGAAGTGTAGTGACTGTCTTAACCGAGGTGATCGCAACGGCTGATCGACAGCTGTCAGCAAACCCCTCCAACCCCGTTCCTTTGCAGCCTCTGAGACGCTGTCTCTTGTGAACGGCGCTGTGCAAATTGCAAGTTGTTGTTTTTCATCTATTCGTTGCAATTCTAATCCGATGATGAGCCTCAACAGGGACCTGATTTCTGCATTATACAATAATGCAAATAACGGAAACAATAATAATCGTTGCACGTTTGATACTTTGCCTATAATGTTAAAACTGTTCTCGTAGCACTACAGGTAATTGCTGTAAAGTGGAGTTGACTGCGTATTTTGTAGGTGAACATTGCAGCCAATTTGCTCACAGCGACGTCCCACAAACAGCCAATGAAACGAACGATTAATTTTATTTGGGGGGATTGTCAGCCAGGAGAGAAAGAAGAAGGAGAGATAGAAGGGAGAGAAATTCCCTTCTATTTTCAGATAGCGCCTCGGGATCTTTAACATCCGTCTGAACAGGCAGAGCTTGGTTTAACGTCTCATCCGAAGGACAGTACCTCCGACTCCGCAACAACCCCCAGCGCTGCACTGGAGCGTCAACTTAGACTGTGAGCTCCTTTGTGAGAAGACGCAGTCACTACACTTTACAGTAAAATCCTGTGAAGCCCTTTGAGACGTCGTGATGACGTGATAAGGCGCTAAAGCAAACGTAAGCGTTACTATTAACACGCTATCGTCCTTATTACTATTATTACTACACTATTTCAACATCCATTTGCACGCAGCGAATAATTGGACAGCAAACAGGCCAGACAGAGGCGAGATCCGAACTGACAGAAACAGCTCCGTCCGTGATAGAAAATAACTTATCATTAACTTTTTACGGCTGCAACCAATTGTGAGCCAGGTTTAAAATAAAATAAATGCAATAAAATAAAACCCCAGCACAGATAATAAAGCAGTCGCTGGTACATTGCGAGGAACTCGCACGTGCTGCTCTCAAAGAAAAACATTGTGAAATTCCTAATGCAATCCTCGTGTGGACCGCACGCTTGTAATTTTTACTATCGCTGAAGCCGAGAAAGCTTGACATTAAATCTCGACAATGGTTCTCTTCCAAAGGCATCATAAACATCCTCTCCTTCCCCTCCTCCTGCTCCCTGTGCCTTTTCCCTCGCTCTGCTTTTTATTACGGTTTTAAAACGCGTCGACTAAAAAGATTTTGTTTTAACACCAAGAAGATATCGCAGAAGCATAGGGTTACACAGCGCGGTAGGAGGCCATTCGGCCCATCGTGCGCGTGCCAGCACTTTTAAAAGTGCTGTCCAAATCGATCCCACTCCCCCCGCTCTCGCCCCATATTTGTGGAGTCCTGTAGCTCAGTGGTTAGAGCACTCGCTTTGCAAGTGAGAGACCTGAGTTCAATTCCAGGCAGAGGGCGAAACCTTGGGCAAGTTTCCTTACTCCACACAGAGCCTAATAATAATCCCTCCAAAACCAAAAACAATAATAAATTGGTCATTTTCAATCTACGACTGTTTGTGGGACATTGCTGTGCGCAATTGGCTGCCGCGTTCGCCCACAAATATGTAGTCAATTCACTTTACAGTGTGTTCTGTGAAGCGCTTTGGGACGTCCTCCCGACGTGAAAAGCGCTATATCAAATGCAAGGATTATTATTATTATTATTATTATTATATTTGACAGTAATTCCTCACTTTCGATAGCAACCGTTGAAATATTGGAGTCCCGTAGCGTAGTGGTTAGAGCGCTCACCTCGCAGGCGAGAGGACCCAGGTTCGATTCCCAAGCGGGACGAAACCTTGGCCAAGTTTCCTTACTCCTCACGCCTCCGTTCACCTTGCGGACGAACGTGGCAGCCATTTTGCGGGTCAATGTGGAATTAACAGACCACAGAGGCTTAGAGGAGCCGAAGCCATGGAGGGCTTTGAATGCGAGGACGAGGGAAGACGTCTCAAAGTGCATCGCAGGATTTTACACTACAAAGTGCAGTGCAGTGCTGTGACTGCGTATGTTGTTGGCGAAAAGCACTTTCGCTCCGATGTTGCGGAGGTCGGAGAAGGCAGAGCGGGTCATGGCACCGAGGCGGGAATAGATCCTTTCGATACCCGTAGATTTTCAATGCTGTTTTCCCAAACCGAGAGGAATAGAAACGATTTCGAAACCGAGGTCAATGATCTGAAAGACAAAGACAAGTGAGTGTGAGCCAGAGGCTGTTGTTGTTGTTGTCGCTGAGAAGCACGTCCAGCATTTGTTGGCCAAGAGCGCCACCTGCTGACAGAAAGGGAGACCGTAGGCAACGCCACATGTGTTCATCACATTGACCGTCTCGCTCTCCGTTTATGTGGCGCTGATTCCAATCTAACCCTTTAACTTCTTAGACGCACGACGCGCCTAAAGTGTGCGACACATGTAGTGACCGTGTACTTGTGGGCGAACACGGCTCAATAATCCCCTACCCCCCCACCCCACCGAGGAAATTGGTTATTCAGTGCCTTGGGACGTCCTCCCGACGTGAAATTCCCTGGATACACGCAATTTCTTTTTGCTGTTGGTAACCTGAGTGTAAAGGTAATGGATTGATTCCGTGCCAGGGATCCGAACATAGGTATCGTTTCTGGCTCAATCATTCACACTCTCTCCTCTTTGAGCACTTCGAACATAATAATAATAATAATAATAATAATAATCCTTGTGTTTGATACAGTGCCTTATCATGTTTTCGAGACGTCTCAAAGCGCTTCACAGGATACCCTGTAAAGTGAAGTGACAGTTTTATTGAGGGGAAAGACACGATGGGGAGAGAGCAGGGGAATGGGGGTAGAGTTGAGAGTGGGGGAGCGAACATCGGCACAGACACGATAGGCTGAACAAACCCTCGTCCTATGCTGAAGAGCGTGGATTCTGCGTGAGATGTTATGATGGGTCGGGAACAATGGGAGGAAGTCTTTCCCGGCTGTGTTTGTGACTCCATTGCCCTCTGGATGCGATATTGTCTCTGTGCCAGAGCAGCCGCCTGTATGTGTCACAGTCACTCAGGAGAAGCAGTCACTGAACCAAGATAATAATAACAATAATGATAAATCCTTGCATTTGATATAGCGCCTTATCAAACCCGGGTCCTCTTGCTTGCAAGTAGATTTTCCCATTTCGCATGTATCAAGAGCGTTCGCCTCACAAGCGGGAGGACCCCGGGTTCGATTCCTGCACACGATTCCTCCGCACGACTCTGTTTACCTAGCAGTACGTAGGAACTCAGTTCTTTGTCAATTGCCTTGTCACTTTCCGGGTTATTAATCCCTCCGAAAAAAAATAATTTGGTCATTGAATCCACGAGTGTTTGTGGGACGCTGCTGTGCACAATTGGCTGCCACATTTCGCCCTCGACCTGATCAATCCACTTTACAGTATATTCCGTGAGACGCTTTGAGACGTCTCGATGACATGTTACGGCTCTATATCAAATGCAACAATTATTATTATTATTATCTTTATTATTTATTATTAGCTTCACGTAAGAAACAATTTGCATCCAACAAAATACACCACTTTATTTTCAACATGACAAAACATATGGACAGCTATCACTCATTTACTCACCTTTCATCAGATGAGTATGACAAGCTTCCCTCTCCGTCATTAGCAATACTGATCAGAGCAATGCCACAGAAGCCACAAAACAACTGCAGGTCAGTAAATGTAACAAGAAGCTCACGTCGCAAGCAGCCGGAACGATCTCAATCTACTTTGGGGGTGGAAAAAAAATAGTCGATGATCTTCGGTCTTCGAATGAGACGTTAAACCGAGGTCCGTCTGTCTGGTCAGGCGGATGTCGAAGATCCAACGGCACTATTCGAAAAGAGAAGGGAGTTTCTCTCTCTCTCTCTCTCTCCCTCTCTCTCTCGGTGTCCTGGCCGCAATCCCCCAAATAAAATTGGACACTCACTCCATGGCTGTTTGGGGACATTGCTGTGTGCAATTGGCTGCCGCGTTTTGCCCACAAAATACACAGTCACTTCACAGTAAATCCTGTGAAGCGCTTTGAGGCGTCTTTCTGACATGATAAGGCACTATATCAAATGCAAGGATTATAATTATTATTAATATAAATTCGGACAAGCTGGGCTCAGTTACATTATGTGGCTGTCTCACACGTATAAACTCACACACGCGCACTCACAAACACACACACAATCACATGCACTCACACACATACACTCACACACACACATACACTCACACACACTCACACACACACTCACACACTCATACACTCACATACACTCATACACGCACACACATACACGTGCACTCTCACACACACATACACTCACACACACACATACACTTATAACACACATACAACAACAACAAAATTACATTTATAGAGCGACTTTCACGTCGGGAGGACGTCCCAAAGCGCTAAAGAGTTAGGTGTCGGGGTCCGGGCATGGGGGAGGGGGATGTAAGGGTGAGGGAAGGCAGAGAGGTGGGAGGGAGACCAAAGGCACGGTCAAAGAGAAGGATCTTGAGACCGGCCTTGAAGGAGGCGAGGGAGGAAGTGAGGCGAAGGGACCGTGGGATGGAGTTCCAGAGTGTGGGGGCAGAGAGGCTCTGAAAGCCCGGCCACCGATGGTAGGGCGGATCGGGCGGGAGACATGGAGCAGCCGGAGCCTGATGAACGGAGGGAGCGGGCGGGTTGGTAGGGAGTCAGCAGGTCAGAGAGGTAAGAGGGGGCAAGTCCATGGATGGTCTTTAAAGTGAGGATGAGGATCTTGAACTCAATCCTCTGGGGGATGGGGAGCCAGTGGAGTCGGGCGAGGGTGAGAGTGATGCGATTCAAGGAACCTGGTGCATGAGAGTCACGAGCTGCAGAGTTTGGGATGATCTACAGCTTGTGAAGGAAAGAGTTGGGAAGGCCGATGAGGAGGGAGTTCCCGTAATCGTGTCTTGATGTGACGAATTTGTGGCTCTCTCAAGGACCTTGGATAGGAAGGGGAGATTTGAGATGGGCCGGTAGCTAGATAGCTGTGATGGGTCAAGGGAAGGTTTCTTCAAGTTTCAACAGTGATAGTGGCTGTTTTGAGGGGGGAAGGAACAATGCCAGATGACAGAGAGAGGTTAATGATGCCGGCGCGTAGTGGGGCAAGGAGGTGGAGCTGAGATTTAAGGAGAGGGGTGGGGGTGGGGTCCAGGGAACAGGTAGTGGGCTTCGTGGAGATTACGGTGGTGAAGACAGAGGATGGGGCGACAGGTTCAAAGGTGTGGAAGGAGGGATGGGTAATTGTCGGATGAGTAATTGTGTGGGGTGGGGGTAGGGAAGGGGTGGAAGTTGGGAGGGCAGTGGCAGCTGAGTGGATTCCCACAAGTTGAGGGAGATGAAATGGTGGTCAAGCGATGGCCTTGTCAGTGATGGTGACATCCGAGACGCTGAGGCCCCGGGTGATCACCAGGTCGAGCGGGTGACCATGGGTGTGGGTAGCAGAGTGGATGTGGAGGGAGAGGTTGAGAGAGGAGAGGAGAGAGGAGAAGTCTGAGGAGGTGGAGCAGGAGGGGGTGAAGTGGGTTGAAGTCGCCTAGGATGATGAGGAAGTTGGAGCAGAGGCAGAGGGAAGCAAGGAGGGTGGAAATGTCAGAGATGAACGTGGGAGAAGATTTTGGGGGGCAGTAGAGCAAGAGAATTTTCAGAGAGAGGTGAAAGGGATGGCAGAGGGCAAGGGTTCGAAAGAGGGGAACGAGCCGGTGGAGTAGGGGGATAGGGCAAGTGATGCCCTGGAGATGAGGGTCACACCACAGCCACGACGGTTTGGGGCACGGTGGTAGGGGTAGATGGGTGGCGTGGCCTCAGTGAGGGGGAAGGTGTCACCTGGGGTGTTCCAGGTTTCAGTGAGGGCCATGATGTCAATGTTCTCATCGAGGATGAGTTCATTGACCGCCTGGGTTTTGTTGGAGATGGAGCGGACATTTTGAAGGCCAATGCAGAGTGGACAGTTGCCAGGGGGATGTGTGGGATGGGAGCGGGTAGGGGAACGGTTGGGAGGGAGGGAGGGTGGGGATGCGGATGAGGGAGGAGAGGTTAGCGTCCGGGGTCAGCGTCCGGGGGTGGCTTGCGGCGGTGGTGGGGAATGGGGCGGTCGGTGTGGCTGCTGCTGGACAGCCAACGCCGAGTGCCACGATGAGCCCGGTGGAGGATTCCCAGCCTGGAGCAGAGGGCGGCAGTGGGAGCGGGGGGGGGTCAAGCGGAGAATAGGAAGCGGGGAGGGCGGAGAGAGAGCAGGACAGAGCGGGAGAGTTGCAGGGAGGGGGGCATTTTGAGGGAGGGCCAATTCGGGTCGGGGGCAGCAGCCAAGATGCGCACACTGGGACGAGAGGCGGCGGGTGTGGTGGGACCTTGTCAGCCTGCAGGAGGCTGGGGTTGGGGGGGGGGGTGCGGCTGGGGGTGCGCAGAGGGGGGGGGGAGGCCATTCATTGTGGTTAGCAACGAGCAGCCGGCAGGGGAGACAGACAGACTCATCCATTTAATGTTACCCACACACTTACACTCACACACACTTACACTCACACACTTAACTCACACACACTCACACACTTACACTCACACACTTACACTCACACAGACATACACACACTCACACACTTACACCCACATATACACTTACACACGTGCACTTACACGCACTCACACACACACACACACACACTTACACTCACACACACACGTACACTCACACGCTCACACAGTTACACTCACACACACTCACACACATACCCTTACACTCACACACTTACACTCACACACACTCACACACCTGCACTCACACACTCACACACTTACACTCACACACACTCACACACTTACACTCACACATACACTTACACACGTGCACTTACACGCACTCACACACACACACACACACTTACACTCACACACACACGTACACTCACACGCTCACACAGTTACACTCACACACACTCACACACATACCCTTACACTCACGCACTTAGACTCGCATACACTCACTCACGCACACACTTACACTCACACACACATAATGCAACCGATTTCAATGTGAGGAACTGGAATGAGAAGGAAATGGGTGTTTGTGCCTGTGGGGTTGTGCGCTCGTCTGATAGTGGAGTAGTTACTAATTTAAAGACAAAAGGAGGAAGTGTGATAAAGGACATTTCCTTTTCTGTGAACAAACAGGCGTAGAGTAGCGGTGGGGGGGGGGCACGAGAGGTGGTGGGGGGGGTGGGGGTTGGCAGACATTTCTCCACAGCCGTTTCTCAGAGTCTCCGCGCTCCTCCTCCTGCCCAGACGTGTATCGAGCTCCGCGTTCCTTCTAGAAGCTTCCCTGCTCCAAAGCACCATGGCTTCAAATTTCACGAAAGTACAATACCCTCTTCAGAACAATTTCATTGGTAAATATCCTTATCCGTTTACCGTTTTTATCTGTTTGCCGCTTAACGTTACCCATTTAACCGTGTGCCTCTTATTCTCTCGCTCCCTTTTCCTCTCTCATCTTCACTCCCTCTCTTTCCTCTACTCCCGCGTTCTTTCTTTCTATTTCTTTCTTTCTTTCTTTCTTTCTGCTTCTTTCTTTCTTTGCTTCTTTCTTTCTCTCCATCCATTCCTCCCCTCGTCGCTCTCTCACTCTCACACCATCACGTGATGATATACAGTCACAATAATCCTCGCCTTATCACGTTATTGAGACGTCTCAAAGCGCTTCACAGAATATACGGTAAAGCGGACTGACTGTGTATTTGTGTTGTCTCGATTTCTCTTTTTCTAAGCCCCACTCTCACTTTTCACTCCCCTTCTTTATCTTCATTTCTCACACTCACTATCCTCTTCTCTCTCTCCTCTCGCCCTGAGCCTCATAATCTCTCATTCACTCTGTCATACTCTTGAAGTCTCTCTCTCTCTGTCGCTCACAGATTCCATCTTTCTGTTTATCTCAGCCCCTGTTTCTCAATCTCTGTCTCTCACTCCGTTTCAATTCCGCAATTATTCACATTTTCTCTCTCACTCGCTTTGTTACCTCAATTTCAAGGCCCTCCGCGGCCTTGACCCCTCCGACGTCTCTGACCGGCTGACCCCCTAACAACCTGTCCATTCTCTGCGCTCAGCGGGCTCTGGCCCGCTCAAGGTCTCCAGCCCGACCCACCCTACCATCGGCGGCCGGGCTTTCAGGCTCTCTGCCCCCTCTCTTTGGAACTCCAATCCCACGATCCCATCACCTCGCTCCCTCTCTTGCCTCCTTTAAGGCACGACTCAAGACTCTCCTTTTTGACCGTGCCTTCAGCCGCCCTCCCACCCTCTCGTCCGTTCCTCATCTCAACACTGCCCCCCCCCACCACCCCCACACGCTCAGGTCCTGATCCCTGACTGTTCAGCGCCTTGGGGGCGTCCTCCTGATGTGAAAGGCGCTTTACAAATGTAATTTTGTTGTTGTTGTTATTTGTCTCTCTCTCTGTCTGTTTCTCTAACTCTGTTTTCATCTCTGACTCTTTTTCTTTGTCTCCGTCCGTGTCTTTCTAGGCTCACTTCTCAGTCTTTCTGCCATTCTCTGTCCCTCTCTTCGTCTCTCTCGCTTTCAGTCTTTCCTCCTCTGCCTCTCACTTTTAAGTGTGGAGTCCTGTAGCTCAGTGGTTAGTGCCCTCACCTCCCAAGCGAGAGGACGCAGGTTTGATTCTCAGTCAGGGTGAAACCTTTGTCAATTGTCCTTACTCCACATGCCTCTGTTTACTGACCTGTAAGTAGGCACCCAGTGTTTAGTCGAATGGCGGATGCTTTCTGTGGGTAATAAACCCTACAAAAGAAAAAAAATTGGTCACTCAATGCACGACTGTTTGTCGGATACTGCTGTGCTGCCATGTTTCGCCCACAAAATACACAGTCACTACACTTTACAGTATATTCTGTGAAGCTTTGAGATCTCTCAACGACGTGGTGAGGCGCTGTATCAAATGCAAGGATCATGATTACTATTATTTAGGGAGAGAGCTCCAGAGAACAAAGTGGCTGAAAGCTCGCCTGTTGATGGTGTGGTAGAGTGGGTGGGGGACATGGAACAGGACTGAGTCATCAGAGAGGAAGATGTGGGTGGTTGATTAGGGCCACAGTAGATCACAGGCGTAGGGTGGGGTCAGTCAGCCCATGGAGTCGTTTGAAAGTGAACAAGAAAGTTAGTGTTAATCCACTGGGGGAAAGCGAGTCAGTGGAGCCTGGAGAGGGCAGGGGTGACAGGCTTGAGGAGCCTGGTGTCAGCAAGGAGAATGGGCTGTCGAGTTTGGGACAAACTTTGCCTTGTGGAGGGAATGTGGTGTTGGCACATTGGGGAAAAGTTGGTAATGGGATTAGAGCAGAGAGCTCCAGTGGGGGAGCGAGCACCAGCACAGGTTGAAACCATAAGAATGCTTCAATGAGAACTGGGTAAAGATTAGAAGAGGGATGATCAAATGGTGTTCAAGATGGTATCGTGCAAACATGTTTTATTTGGAATATAAACTCTATTTCAATGACTTTATTGTCGAACGTAACATTAATAACAGTTGCTGTCTGGTAAGCTTTCCCGTTACTTGTTCATTTAGGACCACCCTACCCATTAGGGCTTTGGTTTGCAGGGTTAACAGGAGCTGAGTGGGAGGATTTCCTGTCCCCAGTGACCGGTCTGCCCTTCCAGGTCCTGCCGATGAGCCAGGCCGGGCTGTGCTGTCATCAGCAATGAATGCCCTGGGTTACCGTGGACCTGCCTGGCTGAGGAACTGGACGAGAGACGTTCACAGAGGTCTGGATCGATTCCCATATTCCGTTGCTTAAACAACAATAGCAGCAGCAACAACAACTTATATGTGTATGGTGTCCTTCACGTGGGATAAAATCTCAGAATAATAATAATAATTTTAGTCTGCAGACTTCTATATCCCAAAAATCCTACAGCGGCACGCCCATTACTGATATAGGTCGAGCTGGCACAGCTGTATGCTTTGGCCTCTCTCTGAATGTAACACATCATGGAGGAAATGTCACTAACGTCACTTGTGGGCTACATGGCCGGTAAAAACTGAACAGGCTTCTGTAATCAGCCTCAGGATCAAGCACACATGAAAGGGAGAACAGCGGAGATAAGGGGAGAGAGAAAAAGGGAGGGAGAGAAAATAACAGAGAAAAGGAAAGACAAAGGAGAGAGAAAAAGAGAGAGGAGACAGAGGTGGAGAAAAGAGGAGTGTTCAGTCCTCAGGGAGGACCTCATAGAGGTGTACAAATGTTAAATAGGATTGAAAAGAGAAAGACTGATTAATACTTGCATCAAGAGGATGCAGATTTAGAGGTGTAAAGGGCAATTTCAGGACAGACACCAGGAAGTATTTCTTTACCCAGAGGTACCTATCGACTGGAACAGGGTTACCAGGGAAGGTAGTTGAGGTCAGGAGACTGGGACTCATTTAATACGCAGCTTGATGGTGTGATGGGGGGATGGGAGATGGTTTTCTGGAGGGAGGAGATCAGATGGGCCGAAGGGCCTTCTTCATCCAGACCAATCTTGTGATAGACACAGAAGAAAAAGAGGGAGTGAAAGGGAATGAGAGATGGAGAGAGGGAACTGGAAAGTAAGAGATGGATAAAGAGAAAACAGGAGAGAGTGGGAGAAGGTGGCGAAAGGGAGGGAGAGATGGGGGGGGGGAAGAGAAAGGGGGAAGAAAAAGAGAGGGTGGGAGGTGGAGAGAGGGAGGAGAAAAGAGAGATCGAGAGATTGGAAAGAGAGAGAAAGAGAGTGTGGGAGGAGAGGCAAGAAAAAGAGAAATAATAATCTAAATTTGCTACTGAGTCTTGTCACATCATAAACATATCTGAAAGCCCTTCACCAGACTTCCTGTAGTGGCTATTTCGTGGTTAAACGTGCAGCTCGTGCACTGTCCCGCACCAGGCTTCGGGACCACATCACTCCCACCCTCGCTCGCCTCCACTGGCTCCCCATCCCCCAGAGGATTGATTTCAAGATCCTCATCCTCACCTACAAGGCCATTCACGGCCTCGCTCCCTCCTACCTCTCCGACCTACTATCCCCTACCTACCTGCCCGTACCCTCCGTTCCTCTGGCTCCGGTCTGCTCCACGTCCCCCGCCCCAACCGCCCTACCATCGGTGGTCGGGCCTTCAGCCTCTCAGCCCCCAGGCTCTGGAACTCTATCCCCCAGTGCTTTCGCCGCTTCCTCCCTCTCCTCCTTCAAGGCCGGTCTCAAAACCTTTCTCTTTGACCGAGTCTTCAGCTCCCCTCTCGACTCTCTTCCCCCTCCTCGCTCCCTCCCTTCCCTCCCCTCACCCTGACCATTGTCCCCCTGCTCGGGTCATGACCCAACTGTGCAGCGCCTTGGGACGTCCTCCCGACGTGAAAGGCGCTTTATAAATGGAATCTTGTTGTTGTTGTTGTAAACACAGCAGCCAATTTGCACACAGCCGTGAAGTGACTGACCAATTTTATTTGGGGGATTGTTGGCCAGGACACCGGGACAGAGAGAGAGTAAAGGGGAGAGAGAAAAGACAAAATAGTAGAAAGGTTGAGAGAGAATTGAGAGAGATAAGAGAATGGGAGAGAGGGAGAGAGAGAGAGAGAGAGAGCGATGGAAAGAGAAGGGTAAAGGGAGAGAGAAAAAGAGAGAGAATGTGGGAGGGAAGGAGTGGGGAGGATAATAACAAATCGATATAGAGAAAGCAAGGACGTGTCAGCGTTGCTCGTTGGTAGCATTCTTGTCCCTGAGTCAGAAGGTTGTGAGTTCATGACCCACATTGGGAGTTGTCGTCCATAATCCAGTAGTTTATGCTGTCACTTCAGTACGGTGTTGGGGAAGCACTTTGTTGTCTGAGTGAAGGGAGTGACCGGGTCAGCGAGGTTGAAATGGTTTTGTTTCAGAAATAGAAGCAAGGTTTAATTTTGGAACATGCATTGCGAGAGGTGAGATAGAGGCTATTTGTATTTGCGGATCACTAATTCTGATAGAGTGGAAAGAAAACACTTCACCACATCCCCTTTTTGGTCACACAATCTTGTAGGTTCAAACAGGGTCCAGCCCTTCCTTTTAATGAAGGAGTTAATGGGTTAGTGCCCCACAATAAGTGTTTGGCGAGATCGCAATGGTCTATTTTAAGGATTTTGTTTGGGAGGTGGGGAGGAAAGGGAACGGAGTGTTACCTCTCTCTTAGTTTACTTTTTAAAACAATTGTATGAATGTCGCAGGCGACGAGAGAAGAATTATCAATCTCTGCATAAAGTGGCTCCAAAAATAGCTTATATTTTCGCTCGCCGTCCAGGCTGACTCTCCAGTGCAGGGCTGGGGGTGGGGGGTGTTGCATTGTCGGAGGTGTCGTCCTTCGGATGAGATGTTAAATTGAGGTCCTGTCCTCCTTGGTTGTTAAAG